AATAAAAAAGAAGCAAACCCAACTAAAAAATAAAAAGTCTATTAAAATTTATTTTTCACCAAGTAAAAAATTACATTTTCAAAACCTTAGAAGTATACGAAAAAAAAATAGACAACAAGTATTGAGGTCAAATAATAAAATCATTCAATTAAAATTTGATCTTAATTTATTACAAAATAAAATAAATGAAATGTCAAGTAATGAATTAACAAAGCGTATTGAAGATTCCGGAATTCYAAAATGCCAATCTGAATTAATTCATGAGATATTTGCTGCAGCTAAGTACAAAAATCCAAAAAATAGACACTACTCAGAAAGTTGGATGATTCTATGTTTATTATTTCAAATACGGTAAATATTATATACTATAAAATACAATTTGGATCTATAGTTTTAAATATTACTAGATAGTAGATATTAGATTATAAGTTGATTTTCACATGTTGTATTTATGTTTTGTATAGATCCCCTTCCGGATACAAATTTTTACGTGATCAAAATATTTTACCATTGCCATGTGTAAACACTATTCGAAAACATTTACTGGCCTTTAAAAGTGAATGTGGTTTTGATAATTCATTTTTTAAGTTGTTAAAGAAAAAGTTTTCTAATAAAACTCAACAACAAAGAACAGGCGTTTTATTATTAGATGAAATATTCCTAAGGACTAGCATTAACGTAAAAACAAGAACATTAACATACAGCGGGTTAGAAGATTTTGGAGGTGAAATAGAAAACAAGGTTAATAGTTCAGAATTAGCGGATCATGGATTAGTTTTCATGTGGAAAAGTTTAGGAGATGACGTAACTCAGCCCATAGCTGTCTTTGCGTCTAAGGGACCAGTTAAAGGTTAAATTATTTTAAGTAGCTATTATGTATAATATATTAATACTAATATTATGTTATTACTTATTAAGTTAAAATTTGTAACAATATAGATATAGGTACTATAATATTATCTAAATCAAATTTTTTATGTTTATTATCATAGGTATTGATTTAGCACAGTTAGTTGTTAAAGCAATTATTTTATTAGAGAATGCTGGTTTACAAGTGGTTGCCCTTACTTGTGATGGAGCTTCAACCAATAAAACTATGCTAAAAATATTAAATGTAACTGGTAATAAAACAGAGTTCAAAAACTATTTCCAAAATCCATTTAATGAGAATCGAAAAATATATGTATTTTCTGATGCCCCGCATGCAATAAAAAACGTTAGAAATCGTTTATTTCAAAATAAGCAATTAAAAGTAAATAATAAGTAAACCTTAAACCTTTAATTATCATAATTGATACTTAGAAAAATATTTTACTTTAAAAAATGTAACAATTTGTTTAGATACATCCATCAAAGTCTAGCATCAAATGGGACCATTACAGTCAAGTATTGAAATGTGATACAAAATCAATGTTAAAAATATGCCCTAAGATTACAAGGCAACATATAGAATTAAACAATATGACGAAAATGAAAGTAAAATTAGCTACACAGGTATTTTATTAATTTATTTTGTAAAAACTTGTGTCTATTATCT